AGGTGCAGATGTTCCAGATGGTTGGGCAGATGCCATCGGTGTGCCCTCAGGTTGCCCTGGGTGTAGCAAAGTATGGTGTCGAAGCTCGCACCCTTGTATACCGCACCCTGACACCTTGCACGCCCTAATAAAATTGTTATGGTTATTTTGCTTAACGACGTGTTTGGGGTATTATCCAAACCATTTATGGAAAAGTTCGACTATTTATGTTATTGTTCGTTTATGGTATTTGTTTATTAGGGCGGCCACTTTCCATGGGAAATCAAGCATCGTCTGCAGAGATGTAACTGCTGGACCAGCTTCAACCGTCCTTCGATGTTCCGACTCTTGAAGACATTGCAGTCTCTAATATTATGACCAAGCTTTTGACACACGGAGCACGGTTTGGGTTGATACGGCTGTTTCTCCTTGCTAATCTCACCCGACTTCCGATTCTCCTGATCTGCGTTCTTTCGGATGTCTTCCGCATATGCGTTGACGTAGCCCTTTTCTTTGCTCTTCGGCTTCTCCTATTTCTGGATGACCTCGGTGCTGAACGTTACGTTGCTAGCAGCTGACGCAATTGTAGACATGTAGTCACTGAAAGCGCGCAGGTCCGCGTAAGGAATTTGTCGTTGATAAAGTGCCCAATCCAGCTTAATTCCTGCTGGGAGCTTTCCAACCAACTCTTGCAGCAGAGTAGGGTTGGACAAATGGTTCTCCATGCCCATTGCACGTAAGTGGCCGCATAAATTTTGAACCGCCAAACCAAAGGTAATTACACTTTCTAAACGATCCGCGTTTGGGAAGGTGTAGAACGAACCTTGTTAACCAGACTGTTCACCACCAGCTCATGCCAACCATACAGCATCTGCAATGTTGAAATGATCTGAGGTACGGATGAAGGGTGAAGAAGCTGACAGCTAACAGCATGTAGCGCATTACCCTTTAAGCAACGCTGCAACCGCATCAAATTCTCGGCATCAGAGTATCCGCACATTTCATTAGAGTTGGTGTAGCTGCTGTAGAATAAAGGCCAGTCAGCTGGGTTGCCATTGAAGATTGGGAGCTCCTTTGGGACTACGTGGCGAGCAGCGAGTTGTTGAGCGGTGGGTCCACAATTCGGGACATTCGGAATCAAGCCAGACGCTTGCGAGACACAAGGAGTTACAATCGAATGCGAATAACTTGGGATGCATGACACAGGCGGACAAGAGACTGGACCAGACGCAACGGGTATTGCATTGGGAGCGGGATGGGCGCGTATATTTCCGAAATCCGCGGGATGCATTTGAGACGAAGGGAATGAAACTATGGGTCGTTTGAACATACCTTCGCACGCCGGAATACTTCCCAACCTGTTCGGTAGAGCAGCACTGTTCCCAATCGCTGGGGGCCGCCGGAACTGTTGATGACTAGTCGGACATTGATAAACTTCTGTCGGTGCCTGCAGCGCTGACTGTAGGCGAAGACTGTCTAGTTGATGCTGCAGATCTCGAACCTGCTGTTCGAGCTCATTGATACGTGTTCCTACTTCCGATGTAATTCCCTGGTTGGGAAGTGCATTTTCCAGCTGTTAGGAAGTGGGCGGAGATATCACATTGAGGGGATAATCCAAACTAGATTGTGCTTGCGAGACTTGAGTGTTTGCTTGATTGATGATTGGTTGAACGTTGTCATCCACTGGCTTCGTTGCAGTAGTCCCTTTTGGGATGGCTCCGGTTCGAGACCTTGAGGAAGTTGGGGAATTTTTGTTCCCGGAACTTGTCAAGAGCGCCTCACGCTGGGCTTTCAACCACTTATGGACTGAGCTAGATGCACTTCGTTGGCTTCGATAAGTTTTCACGCTACCATTCTCACCTTCATTCAGCTCGTTCTGCAGAAGATTATACTTCCTTCTGATGAAATCTAACTCCCGCTCAATCTTCTCTTGCATGGCTTTGCTTCTGCTCTCAATTTCCTGCTGTACCGCCTTCTCACGCAATGCTTTGGCGTACTCCTGTACTTCCTTCATCAACTTTTCCTGGGCCCTTTGCTCCTCTTCGATTTGCTGCATTTGCAGCTGAATATTCGCCAAGCGAATCGATGATGAACTTCCTGTTCGTGATGGACATGGCGAGATTGCTTGTGCACCATCTTCCTCACAATGGATACAACTAAAGCTTCGATCTTTGATGCTGTCGTCCACCTTGGCGCAGGAGAAATGGTTCCACCTCTGGCATACGTCACATTGCACTATGTATTGGTTCGCATTATCAGGTCGATTGCAGTCGGGGCAGTGAGATTCGGTGGTCGCCTCCTCTTCTGAGACCCTCTTAACGACACTCAAACGTTTTGACCCTGGTCTAAGAGTGGACATCTTGCAACGGCGAATCGTATCGCTCCCGACAGACTGATACTGGACCTGGCTAGCCTCCAAATGGTCGCTAAAATTTCTAAAAGTTTGTTGCTGACGGCAATGTAAGCTCGCTTCAAGACCGGCATGCAACTGGCTGTCTCCAACAGGCCGCCTCGGCTTCGCTTGGTGGCGTGCATCCGTTAGGTCCAATTTTCCATGACTCTGGCGCACAAATCGGGCTGAATATCGCGAGGAATATCGTTGACGACTTGAGTAATGTTAGCTTTGAGGACATCGGTGGTTTGCGGCTAATTGGCATAGACCTGCAACTTAACATAACCCCATAAGACAAGTTTAGAGGGGTTAAATCACACGATCTTGGTGGCCAGTTGACATCGCCTCCGTGCGAAATAACCATCTCCGAAAATCGCTCATGCAGAATATTGATGGTTTCGTGCGCTGTGTGGCACGTTGCACCGTCCTGTTGGAACGACATATCGTACACATCCATATCGTTCACATCCATATCGCCCACTTTAGGCCAGAAGAAGTCGATAATCACCGACCTGTAGCGCTCTCCGTTGATGGTGATGGCCTCGCCAGCGTCGTTTTCGAAGAAGTACGGACCGATGACGCCTCCGGCCAAAATGCACACCAAACAGTGACTTTCTGGAGATTCATTTGCCACCTAATGGACCTCGTGTTAATTGGTCTTGTCCCAAATTCGACAATTCTGCTTGTTCGCATACCCGTTCATCCAGAAATGGGCCTCGTCGCTTAAGAAGATTTTTCGGGCAAAATCAGCGTCTGTTTCCAACTGCTCCAAAAGCCAATCAGCGAACAAACGGCGCTGTCTATGACCGTTAAGCTTGAGCTCCTGGGTCAATTGGATCTTGTATGGGTGCAGACCCAATTCTCGACGCAGAATTCGCCAAGTTGAAGCCTGCGAGAGGCCCAGTTCTTGTGCGCGGCGCGGAGTCGACTGCCGCGGGTTCTCCTGCTCACTTTTGCGTACAGTGCTGGATCAACAATAGAAAAGGGCCCATCAGCATTTGTAAACAAACCGTTCCAAAGCCCTTTACTCACGAAACGAAGGCCACCCACGCAAACCAACTCCATCATCAGATAGGGGAAACTTCTACCTACACGATGATGGTGTTGGTTTGTGTGAGCGGCCTTCGATTTATGAGGAATGGGCTTTGGTACGGTTTGTTTACAAATGCTGATGGGCCCTTTTCTATTGTTGATCCAGAGTGGTGATATTCTCGGCAGACCTTGCGTTCTGTTCACGTACTGATGGTGGTTGAGCGTTCACCGAACCAGTTTCCTCGAATTTGTTCACCACATTGCGAATAGTCCTCTCGGTAGGACGATTATTGCGACCGTAAAATGGGCGAAGCGCTCGGAACGTTGATCGCAAAGAACACTTACTTTGATAAAACAATTTTATCATTTGCACGTGCTGTTGGACGCTATAACTCTCCATGGTAATTTGATAAGACACGTGTAGCTTTAACAATATGGCCGCAATGAACTGTCAAAGTTAGGAAATCCCTCTTGGGAAACTCTTTATTACTCCTGGTTTGAATCACTAGCGAGGGAGAGCGTATGCTAAAAGATATTTTTTGTTTTTACTTCCATACATAACTTTTCGTTCCCGATAAGTATGTGATGAAATAGATCGCGAACTATGATTCGTGAACTTTTTTATTGGTAACTCCTAAGCAGCCGTTGAAGTTTGAATTACTGTTATGCGTAACGTAAACCGCGAGTTGCAGAAAGTGACAACTTTATAAATGTGTTTTAACTGCATCCTAAATGTATACTTCCATCAATAAAACGCACGGGTTACTCCTACATATATGCAACTTAAATCTAGCTGAACAATGCATTAGGTCCAAAGTAACATTGGTCGATTCTCTTCATCGATTTTCATTTTCGTTAATAACTTGGGTACAAAACCGTTTATTGTCTTGTCGTGTTTGTCGGAATCACTTGCTGCCCTGTTTCGCTCACCTCCTTCGGAAAGTATTATTCACATTTCATTCGCGATTTTTTCACAGCTAGTTTTTCAGCAAAATGATTATCTGAAGAATAGCGAAAGAACTTTTTTTTTAAATAAACTTTCCAACACTAGTCGATGACCTCCTTACTCCAGACAGCAAAAAAAAAAATTTTTTGCCCGAGACATAGAAGCTGCTAAATGTGGTAGAGACTTCCAGACCGTATCCGTATGTGCATTAGAATAAATTCGTAACCAGCTCCAACCCGTGCGAACACGAGCTTATTGCCAGTGCGAACCTCAACCCGAGCCAGATTACAAAAACAAACGTTCACACTGACGTTTGACAGTCAACAAGCAGACCCAATCTTGATACACAATCCAGGTTGGAACTGAATCAAAAACAAATTTGGACTATTGTCATCATTTCTAATTAGCCGGCGCCGGTGATGTAGTGGTAAGCGTGACTGATTTCTCACCCCAATGGTTCTGGGTTCAATCCCAGCGAGGTCGGTGGGAATTTTCTGAGGCATAAAAATCTCTGGTCACGTCTTCCTTCGGAAGGGAAGTAAGCCGTTGGTCCCGGCCCAGGTGTGTTGAACAACGGTACAGAGACGGACGTTAAATGAAGGAAAAGAAGAAGAAGATCATTTATAATTCCATTTTGATATTAAAAACAAATTGTTAATTTTAATTATTTTATATTTTATTCACTTAATGCTTAGATTTTGCATATCGTGTTAATATATACTTTTTTTTTAGAAAAAGAAGGAAATAATTACAAACTAAAAAGAGGCTTAACACAAATGTTACATAATATTAATCATTGATTCTCTCTGCCTTAAGACGATCTAATTTCTTTCTGTCTACCTAACTAAATTTATATTTTCAGCAATCAATGAATTGTTAGTTTTTCTCTTTTTTAAGTTGTAACTTAAAAATTCAGAACTATAATGAACTTGACGATAATATAATTACATGCATTTTTATACTTTATAGAGAACATAACATACCACTTTTTTCCTCGTTTTCTCTCGTTTTTAAACTTCTTTTTTTTTGTCTTGATGCAGTATGCGTTTTTTTAGTTCTGTATTTATATTGTACAGCGCGGTAATCTCAGCAGTTGGACTTAATTGGAACATTAGCTTCACTTGCTTCTATTTGCCTGCTCTGCACTGATCTTAAACCATACTAAAAGTTACATGCTACACAGTATTTTCTTTACAGTTTTGTTTTTTGTCTCTCTTTTCACCTTCGCTAATATCCGGAATTCAAACATTTTTCCGTGATAGAAAGGAAAAAATGTGTTTGGAACGAAAGCTATGAACTTAGAAAAGAAAAACGAAACGAAAAACTAACAATGAGAACTCATAACAGCCCTAGCATTGTTTGACTTGTTGGTTTGCATTCTCCCGGATTGGTTGGCATAGACGAACTATTTTTATTTGTTTATTTATTTATTTGTTTGTTTGTCTCTAGCTTTTCAAACAAGCTCGTACAGTAAATCCCTTCCATTTTGTTTTCGTGGATAAGCTTCCATCTTGACATATTTAGCTTCTGACTTTTACATTTTGTTTTTCTTTTTGTTCAATAAACACATTAAAACATTCTCGAGTAGTACTTTGCGAAGAACTTCATTTGGTTCATTTATTTTACACACAGTCAACAATCGTAAACGATGAGACCAAATCTATTCACTTCAGTTCTCTTTCCCTTGCACCCCTTTGGTCCGGGAACTGTCCACATCCAACCGGTTACCTACGACCGACGATCGATGATCCCTGCGAGGGTGAAGTGATTGCGTGTGTATGTGTGTGAGTAGATTCTCATTAATCGTATGTGCTTCTCGCTAGCCGGGGACGTTTCTTAGAAGGGTTAAGCGCATTAAACTCTGTATCTCTGTCAGTTGTATTTCGACTGGATAAGATTATTCTGCAGATGTTTTTTTTTTATAGGATAGATTTAGCGTTTAATGGAGTAATCGATAATTTTTCTATCCTTCTCTTCATTCTGGATTGTGTTGTTTATTAATAATTCTCGTTGTATATCTCTAGCTGTTTTTGCCTTTATCAGTGTTAAAGTGTTCTAGCATTTTATGTATTATTTTTTAATACATGCTTACCTTTTCATAGATAATTATTCATTCATACTTTAGTTTTATTATCATAATTTCTGTATTATAATTAATATTTATAATAAATTACAAGTTTGCATGAGATAGAATTCATACTGAATGTGTATTCAACTTGTTTTGTTGATGTTGATGTCCTATCATTTTCGTTCTACAACGATACAAATGAATACGATTGATCTAATCTTCATCACTGAGCGCTTCATATTGAGCCGAGAGTAGTGGTTTCGGTTCAATTGATGCATTGGATGAAGATTGTCGGTCATCGTTCATACCACCACCGCTATTGGGTGGTGGAATACCGCTACTACCGCCAGCACCACCCAGCGTTGGTACAACCAGGGTCGTCTTATTGGGCGGTCCTGGAGGACCAAGATTGCCTACTGGGCCACCCGTTACAGTCAACGCACTGTATGGATAGTACGTGGGTGGAGCAAAAGTGGTCGCTGGCGGAGGAACGGGTTGATTTCCTAGGTAGGGTGACGAATGTAGGGAGTTGTGCATTCCTCCCTGTGGTTGCGAATGCGATGACATTTGCTGAGATGACGGTGGTCGATGACTGTTGCCTCCAGAGGCAGGGCGCCCAGTTTCCTCATCAATCATCATATCTCCTGGTGTGGAGCTACGATCGTGATCTTTGTTGTGATGAGCAGGAGGAGGAGGTCCATGTCCTCCATGCTGTGCAGGCGACTGGTTGCGTGGCGACTGCTGGTCTCTTCCATCATCGGCACGTTTGTCATCTTCTGTTCGCATTGCTTCCACAATTCGATTCTTGACGTAGCAATCCAAGGCAAAGTCACGTGGCCCTCGACTTAGGGGCGCACCCGGATGAAAAAACTGCGTGTCAGGCGAAACGGAATCGTGAAACTTATTTCGAGGTCCTGGAGATTGTGCCATCCGAATAATGTGGCGATCGTCAGGCGTAGATCGTCCTGGACCTTTGTTTCCTGATTGCACATATTGATGCCCAGGTGGTCCTTGCTGCGATTGTTGCACTTGTAATTGCACAGATTGTTGCGAAGGAGACGGCGGAGGTTGTCCGTGGGGTGATTGATCTTCCTTACTCGGTGGCATCCTACGATATTTCCACGCTTCCGACGGCACCATAGACGGGTCCAGTGACATAGGTATCATCGAGGGACGCATTTGCAGGAACGGATTCGGGTTCGGGGAGTAGTCTTTGGCAATGATGGTCTCTGCCAATTCACCAATCGTGATGTTTTTCGTCCGTACAGGTTCCGAGTCGACGTCGATGTTTATCACGTTGGGTGAATGAGATTTCCCGTTGTTTTCACTGATTGGTGATGGGCGATGGTCGCGGGATGGGTACTGAAATAATAAAGATTAGAATTAGTTTACATCCGTAGGACTGAAAAAAATCTAATAGCGTTTCAATGCGTTAGAACGGCATTGAAACTCGTTGGACGAACTTGGAATCAAGAGGCAGTGTCTCAATAATTTGTGACTCTTAATCAAACAAATAAATAAATCTTGATTCCGTTAAAAAAAAAGAGATATAAAGCACGAGTTATTTTTTTTTAAAGAATTTTAAAAATTGTTATAAGTTACAACACTTCCATCGTTGATTAAAGAAAGTAAGAGCAGAACTCCTGAATTTGAGATCAATTACGGAAATTACAACAGCTTTTTCATGCCGTTCAGAGGTACTTTAAATGTCTGGTCATATTTGCTGAACGTCTGTTAACAACAACCAACAATTTTCGCCTTCAAGGCTGCCCTCAAAGGGTATTAGAACATGAACCTATTTAAAGCTGAACAATGCTCTTTGCATCCATGTTAAGACATTCACAGCTATTTTCAGCACACAGATCGGTTATCTAGATTTCGGTGGTGCTATTTTTTTTGATCAGGCAAAACTGCCACCGATCCAGCCATCCATCTTCCGGAGTAGGATAGCCCGAGCACAACAGCTTATACCTTGACTCTTGAAATCGCAGAGCAGAGTCACGACTGCAGGCTGCCAACCGAAGAAGAAAGAGAAGTATCTTTGATGATATGCACAACAGTAAGCTCGATGACCAAACCGGGCGCTCCTCTGCGGCGGGTTTCCTCAATCAACGTGAACAATAAAATATCAATAAAATACAATAGATTCTATTGTTGACCATAAATCTTATTGTAATTCTATTGTATTGGTCAAATAATCAAATAGTCACCACAATATAGGTTTACAACAGATTCCATGAAATCAAAACGTTGCACAATAAAAAAGCAATACAATTTATGGTAATGAGATCAAATTTTTTCGAAAAAAAATTGATTTTCTTATTGTTACGGTAACTAACAACTCTCCTTTTCTATTGTTAATGTTTAATTTTATTGAATTGTAACATTCTTTTTGTATGGTAATTTTTTATTCGGGAACACTAACAATTCTTCCAACTTGAAAGTAGCTGGTTAAGCAGCGGAGGAACTCGCATGTTTCCAATATCGTGACAGACAGCCAGATGGCGTCAGTCGGCGGGATCAAGAACGAATAAGTGCACGAATTAAGAAGGGATTGCCTGTGTGAGCTAAAAGTCGTGGCCGCTAAATCAGATCGTTGGTTTTCTCTGTTGGTTTCTGTAACAATTTGTGAATTGCGGAGATAGTCGATGATTGATCTAAGATCTCATATGGAGCTCCCATCTTAGGTACAACTTCCGGGGATACGTATTTCTTATTCAGCCGTATTTGTTTTTTACCAACTCGACACAAATGGAAAATCTTACAATTGAACTAACAATCGTACCAACCACCTTGTGATATGATTAATCGAACCATAAGAAAGGGGAACCAACAAGATACAAACATCAGAAATCCGTTGAAAGTTACTGAAGATATTACAAAAATAGTGAAAATGTGATTTTGGTTTGATACTTGAAGAGTTGATGGCAGTGGAGATGCACATGTCGCTTACGAAGGCATCGTTCAATACCTGCGGGTGATATGATCGCGATCTAGCTTTGGTGCTGGGAAAATACGGACAAATAAACGTGTAATCATTGAAAAATTTCCTGCGGACCTGAGGAACATGCACACAGGTGTATGAGGTGTTTATATGGAAATGTAGAAGGAAATTCCAAGTAACTTTTATTTCCGAATGTTTCTTATTGTAGATCGAAGCCCACCAAATGAATGTCTGCCCAAGCGGAAGGCACGCAACAGCAAGGAAAATAATAGGACGAAGAAGCTAGCAATTAGTACGTGCGTGTTATGGCCTGAGGAAATAGAATAAATGTGGGCACTCTCTTGAATATGCACGGAGCGATCACTGAGGCCCCAAAGAAGAATAAAAAGCAACAAAAATCAAAGCTCAGAAACAGCAGATACTTGTATTCAAGTATCCGAATGACAAGTACTTTTAGGAACCATCCATAAATGACGTAGCGGAGTTTGCTCTAAGTAATACATACCTGGTCACAATCTCCGAAAACAAGCACCATAAGTTGAAAATTTAATGTTTATTAAATATTGCGCATTAAACACATTTTAAGTGCGGAAACGCTTATAAATGTGCGTTTTTACGTTAAATCATGTTGGCGCACTTATTCCTTGGTTCATAAGGAAAAAGTGCGTTGAAGACATCAAGACGATAGTCCATTTTCAAATACAAATATGGTACCGTGACTTGCCCTAATTCCGCTCAGCACCTAATACGCGGGGTTTGTCAATAAACTTAAATGTTTTGCTATCTATATTTTTTCCTTGTTCCAAGATCATACTCGGTTTATGCAACCCGAGGACTTATCACTATTAACAAGACATAAAAAGTAACAATGGCTAAGATGTGTTCCTTTGATTACTGAAAAATCCTTTTGCCTGTTCCTGAAGTAGTCAGGACTAGGATAGGTAGATCTTACATCCCGTACCGAAAAGTAGATCTACCCACGTTATGGGACACGTGTGGCAAAATGGCTTAATAAAACTATGTTTTGCATTGGCAACGGTAGAAACAGAGGTTCTATACATGATTCATCCCGTTGTCGGTGTAGTTTTCTTTCTTTTTGCCCCACACGATTGACCATCATAAATTGAACTATTTGCAAGAAAATTTGAAATTTAATTTTTAATTTTTTCAACAACAAATTTAAATTCTGTTCGGGACATTTTTTTCTGGGTTTCTTCCATACTCCACTACCGTATAGATAGTGATAGTGATTGACTTAATTGACAGTGACGATGAGGTTCATTTGAGAAAGTGACTCTTCAAATGATGGGCATTCGTTGCACAGAATTGATTTAATGGTAGTACTGGTTCATCTTCAATCGAATTATATGAAAATTAACAGCTCTTCCGGACCCTGAGCGCCAATACCCAGATTTTAATGACCTCGAACTGAACTAACGAGCAGCAGTCAAAAGAAGGCTTTTCGTAATCGGCATTCGGGAATGTAAATTCGGGGCTAATGTAGCATAAATATGTAAATGTTGGTTGCAGTGATCATGTTGAGCCTATATTTATCTCAGCTTATATAAAAATACTCACATAAGAAGGACGGTGCAGATCACGGTTGGGCGGCAGCGGTGGTTCCGACGCCGTCTGATTAATCTGATGGGTAATTATCGCATCTATCAGATTGGCCGCGGTCAACGAGCCGTCCGAAGATGGTCGCATTCCCATTCCTGGCTCCATTGGCCTGTAACGAAATTGCAAACTAAGAAATGTTACAAAGCTACTTACTCTTTTCAGTTCTACACTTAAACTCACCTTTCCATTCTTTCATTAATAAGATCGTAGTGCTTCCTTCTACGTTCCTCCTCTTCTTGGTGAGCTAAACGCTCCCGGTCTCGCTCGCGCTGTTGTCTATCACGTTGTTCGCGCTGTTCCCGCTCTCGCTCGCGCTCACGTTCCCTCTCCCGTTCCCTTTCTCGTTCACGTTCCATTTGTCTCTCTCGTTCCCTTTCGGCCATGATCGAGCGTTCCCGTTGTTCGGCTTGCATACGTTCGCGTTCGAGCCGTTCCCGATAGTTGACAATTTCCATATGTTGTTCCCGATAGGCTACAACCGATGGATGCTGCATCGAAGGATGCATCTGGGGTTGCTGACGGCGTTGCATGTCAAGCTACAAGATTTGAAAAATCAGCACTATTTGACGGAACTTTGTGACGTGAATATTACCTGTTGATGCCTCTGAAGTTGCTGTTGCTGCTGCACCGCTGCAGCGTGATGTTGTTGCGCTGCAACTGCAACTGCGTGCTGTTGTTGAGCAGCGGCGGCAGCAGCTGCTTGATGTTGATGTTGTTGCTGTTGAGCTGCCGCAACTGCTGCCGCTGCAGCTGCAGCTTGATGTTGTTGTTGCTGTTGCTGTTGCTGCTGCTGCTGCTGCTGCTGTTGGTGATGGATCTGAATCATTGTTGCCGGGTGATAGCGGATGTCATGATGCGTCGGTGGCGGTGGCTGCGGAGCCTGCTGCTGCTCAACGATCGATGGTCGCTTATCGTCCTTGTGCGGTACCGTCATTGGCTGCTGCTGCACGGCTAGATCAACCAATGAAGTGAATGCATCATGTCCTATTGAAGGATGAGATTTAAATTATTGATCGTGTTTGTTAAGAGGATAAAGCGTAACATACCTTGCATATAATGATGTGGCGGCGGGACGAGATGCAATCGATTGGGAGCTGGACTTGGCGGTTTAGATCCAGCACCACCACTGGCGTTTCCACTACCTCCTACAGTGTTGTGTCTCTGGATTACCCCTTGCCTTTGCGGTGGAGGGGGGGTCCTGTGCGGACTAGGAGTACTGAAAACAGGAGAAACCCTTAACATTAATGGTGATCGAATCGAATGTTCCACAAATGGACTCTATTTTCCAATCTTACCTGTTAACGTGATCGGCAGGTGACGCTCGGCTCAGATATTCTGGCCTGGTATTTCGTTCCCGTTCGGCAACAGCATACAGTAAAGCAGCTGATGAATTGGCCATGTTGGGAACGCTTCGTGGCGATGGAGATTCTTTTTCCGGTCGTCCACCAGATCCCACCGAGTTGCGTCCTTGCGACTGACCATGCATTTGCTGCGATGTAATGTAGTCATTCATGATGATTTGTCGTGAGCTCAGCTGTTGCGGTTCTAGGGTAAATGTAGGAGCATTCCTACCACACTGAAATTGGGGTGCCTGAGGACTTCCTTGAGGTGGCGGTTGAGACACTTGTGCTGGGCTCTGACGATTGTTGTATGATTTGTACTCGTAGGCTGCACGTTTATCCGGTAACGTGTGAGTGGTTACGTGAACCGGTGTTCCTTGGGTGATGGATCCATGTTTGTCGTTCGATGAGGGTGGCGTCTGTCGAAGCATATTGTCATAGCGAGGACTGAGCGTGGTTTGACCTTGAAGTATAATTTGTTGGCCAGCGGCATTTACTGGTGTACCATGAGTGATCGATCCCTTTGGTCCGATGGATTGCGACGGTGGCTGCTGCATGACCGATTGCACTTGATGCGGCATCTTAGGACTTAATTTGGGAGCATTTTGTTTCTTCGTCGGAGGTGGAGTTAACGAGATAGTTTGCTGTGACATCTGTCCTCGTCCAACCATAGAAGAACCAGCATTTGGCGGACCTCCTGGGCCTTGATTCCAAGACATCGGTGGTCCTCCAGGTACGGTCGTAATATAACCAGAGGGTGACTTAGATGGGCGTCCCATTGTCTCGCCGTGGTAGCTCATCCCATAGGGCGGCCCATGCACTGGAATGTTCTGTAGTTGCTGCTGATGGCTCGGCGGTGGAAAGTTGTCCGTACGATACAACGTTATTGTGCTTCCGCCACTCGAAGAGTGCGGAGGAAGTGGAACTGACTGAGAAGGTACACTGGGCATTTTACTGTTGTGCGCAGGTGGAGGGAAATTGTCCCGCTGAGGCTTTTTAATGCTGAGATCGAGTGTTACCGGTTCATCTCTTACAAAGACCACCGGGACATCTTTTTCGTGGGCACTAGAGCTGACTGGCTGCTGCGAAGGCTGCTGCAATAGCTGGACAGATTGAGCCTGTGATTGTGACGCTTGTTGCTGCTGTTGCTGCAGCGAAGGTGGAATCTGCTGAGTCTGTGCTAGCAATTGCGGAGGTTGCTGCTGCTGCTGTTGTTGTTGTTGTTGTTGTTGTTGTTGTTGTTGTTGTTGTTGTTGTTGTTGTTGTTGTTGTTGTTGTTGTTGTTGTTGTTGTTGTTGTTGCTGTTGTTGCTGTTGATGTTGTTGTTGTTGTTGTTGTTGTTGTTGTTGTTGTTGTTGTTGTTGGTGCTGTTGGTGCTGTTGGTGCTGTTGTTGTTGTTGTTGTTGTTGTTGGTGCTGCTGTTGTTGTTGTTGTTGTTGGTGCTGTTGTTGTTGTTGTTGTTGTTGGTGCTGTTGTTGTTGTTGTTGTTGTTGTTGCTGTTGCTGTTGCTGTTGTTGTTGCTGTTGCTGTTGTTGCTGTTGTTGCTGCTGCTGCTGCTGTGGAACAGGCGTAATGGTTGCCTGTATTTGAGAACTCATCGGATGGGGATGATGAGATATGATCTTCGGTTGACCGTGAGGAAGAGAATTCACCACTGAAAGAGTTGCCATTTCTCCCGAAGAAGGTCGATTGGGTGGCACCTTCGACAAATCCCTGTAATCTCGAGGTGTAAAAGATAACTCACCGATAGATTTCATCGGTGGTGGTTTCGCTGAATTGTTGGACATTACAGATCTTTCTATCACATTCAGCATCACATCCCGAACATTCAGAGGTGAGCCAACATCATTGCCGCGAGGTCCGTTCTGCATAGAAGAGTGGTGCACAGACATAACGGGATTTACTCCACCTAGCGGAGGATAAAGTACTTTAGGACTCTGTCGGTTTGCAGGTGAGGTTTCGTTTTCCTCGTCTGCCGTCTCAGTAGCCGAACTGTCATACTCTTCGGTGAGCTTCTGTTTCCTAGGCGGCTGACCAGGTGGCAACAACCGATCGTCTTCGAAACTTTTGGTAAGAGGTGGTGGGGCCAATGTTTCAGGAACTGCGATGATTTCCTCTTTCGTGACATTCAGTGGAACGGAGTTGTTAGGACTCTCAGCGGAAGCAGTCGTGTCGCTGCTTGCGTCCCGTTCATCTGAAGAGGAAGCACTCATATCTGATTCATCGCCATCGGTCATTACCGGGCGACGATCTTCGCCAGGATGCAGTTTGTAGTACTCAGTCACAGCTAGATCAAAGCTGTATTTTTTCTTGTAATGAATGTAAAAGCTTTTCAACGCAACGGGAGTTTTGTTCATGGTTTCTGCCAGTTGGTTCCATTTGGGACCAACATCTTGCAACAGCTTTTTCATTCGTGCAACTTCCTCGTCGGTAAGATTTAAATGTGGCCCCATCTTGCGACGAATACGAGTCAAACAAGCGGAACAACATTTTGTCACGTTAGGTGGAATTTGTAGCTCTTGAACGATTGGATCGCGGATCTCCGGTGAGAGTTCAAAGAGACGCGGTGGAAGATTTCGGAAACGTTTCACTCTATCTTTCGGATTGGGACAGGTCGGCAGGGGACAATGCGTATATCTAGAATGGACGGATTGATCGTTCAATATTAAACCCTGTGCTAGAGCGGAAGGAGAATAATACTGCGAGTCGTACCTAGATTTCACTGACTTGCATTGGCACGTATTGCAAACACGTGCTCCCGGCGGTATCGCTTCTTCCGGTATGCCGTACTGCGCACCCCGACCACGTTCCAGCGGGCGAGTACGAGGGCACATCTCGGCCTTGCACACGAAACAAGAGTGCAATGCGCTACCCTTGTCTGCAAAGAAAGTAGAGATAAAAAGAGCGATTATTAATTCATGTTGATACGTAGGTAGGGTAGGTAAATTGGTAAATTAACTATAATAATTGCTCACACTCGGATCGGTTTTGGGATATGTTCATTCGGCTTTATAAATTACTTTTAGGTGCATTAAATATTAGCAACGAATTAATGACATCGGCCTTTGATGTTATTTTTAAATCCTAATCTTGAAATTCATTCACTTAATGAGAAGCAACTGTGGTGATAACAAGAGAAATTAGTTTCCCATTTAGGAAGGTACTTCTTTGTGGTAATCAAAAACTAGTCATCTGCATTCCTCCCTCCTACTCATGCTCCTACTGTGTTGTTTTTAAACACTCACATTCTGCCTTTGACACCGACAGTCTGAAAGTTACCTACCTAGTGTTAAAGGCCGTGGCCCTTGTTCCGGAGCAAATAAAATATTCAAAGTTCAACAGTGGTGACTTCGAATGAAGCTGCACCCGGCGGCAGGACGGTGGTATTAAATGTGTATATGTCACTATTAAATGTGTGGTCATCTTCTGGACAACGAATGAATCGACCCATCGAACGTACCTACCTACATAGGGGACTTAGAATGTACTCTATCGAAATGTATGTAAGTATTTATCTTTTTGGCTGCTAATTTGTTTGCACACTTTCGTTAGTGAGCGGTACGAATTAGAACACAACCACGTGAGGAGCTACGACAAGGCGATGTGGCAAAAGGGCGATGCAATAATCAATAACTGATTTGATTTGAACTTCGCCTTCGCCTTCGCCTTCCGTGCCATTACTGACTAGGCTAACTGATGCCCCGTAGATGATATGCGTACCTTAATTGTCTTTCCATCAGCATAACGGAAAACTAATTGCTCAGGGTTATGCAGTAAATCATACAGCATTGATTTTTCCGTTTTGAACTTAATAGAGAGTGTCTTCTCCTCAGCAATCCTGTACGTTGCTTCGATTTTTACGGAATAAACATCCAGAGTCTTCGCAATTTTGAGAGAAGCTTGCAGATTACATGTTATCACTCTATGAAATCCGTTGCGACTTTCATTTCATTAATTTAAGCTCAAAAATTGAATAAAACTTACGACCATGATATAAAAAATAATGCATTAACTTAAGAAGCTTGATTTATGTAAATCGAATAATGGCAAATATATAAATGGCACATAAAGCATTCACATCTTAAATTGATCAAAATTGTCAATAGATAAATTTAAAAAATCTACACCCATACTCCCTATCTTAGTAATTGGTTGTCGAGATTTGCACAACCTGCAAAGCTCGACAACGAGTTTTACAGAGATCCAAACTAACGTTTGTCAGCAACTACAAGCCACTTTTGTTGAGGTATCAGTAAAATGTATTCGGTGGAAGTTCGGTTGTGCATATCTCGGCAAATAAAACTCCAAAAATAAGTACGATTTCGTTGCAAACAATCGGATTTTCACCTTCGTTTAGCGAACGTTTATTTTACTACCAATGAGTAATAGTAAGAATAGGTTATACTAGACGGGTTCTTCAATTTAATTATAAAACAACTACTTTTATGCAAATGAACATCCTGTCGAGCTTATCATTTTATCCTTGTTTTATTGCATTCATACAAGTACCAGTAATTATGTGGAAACGATATCTGCCTACCATACCGTAATTGCTGGTGGCTTGATTGTCACGCATTCCCATTCGCTTGCCGCGCCACCATCCAGGGTGCCGGCTTGTATACGGGAGGCAATTTTCATCAATTATTTATTGTTTGATAACCCATTGAAATTATTGTAATTATATTTAAATAATAAATTAATATTTCTCTACAACGGTGGAAGTAACCGGAACATGTGCTGGTTTAGAAAATGCAAATACGATAGGGGTGTGTCCAAGATCTACGCTGACTGTTAAAATTAAAATTATTGACTATTTGCTATAATTTGCATATCTGTTTAAAAATAACGATAACTATTTTTCTAATGCTCTACTATCTAGGGGAAGGGGTCAACATTTTTCACAAACCGCCGCCGGAAGTTTGGATTTAGGCAAAACTATTCTGAAAAAGGATTCGATTCTGTCGATGCAGCCGCAATCAAATTGAAGTAAATAATGAACGCTAATTTCGATGTTTATTGAATTATCATCATCATCATCATCATCATCTGTGCGGTTTGGTCATATCAATGCAAACAGAAATAACGTACAATTGCTTCGATTCGCGATTCTGGCATGCAGAATGCATTTACTATGCAACACTGACTGCATCATGTCGAACCAGTAAACATCCCGTTTATCGTGCATCTATATTGATGATAATACAATTTTCGGTTCCAAATCAGTTTCATCTGCTCTTCAATTTGGATTATTGCGACGAGCGGAACGGCGACGTTAGGAATAGGAACCACATTGTTGATTGCACAATTGAAGTGGGCCAGCCGGTGAGTTGCCACTTCCTGTATTGTACCAACTTGGTAAATATTCACGAGCCCATCGCATCGTTTCTGTGAACATTTGGAATCAAGGCCTATCGAACGATTGCTTTCCGGTGCAGTTTTTGCTCATCGTTCAAAAAAAAAAATACTCTATCAAATTAGCTAAATTGAAATGCGTGAGCCATTTCGCTTTGGCTAAGCGTTTCGAATACCTACTTTGATATGGTATGGGTACAAACAATTGCTTTTTGTATGACATGTGCCTTGTTGGATCTATTTGAAACTAACGTCCTAGACTAGACGAGCGGTCACTAAACAATGGACATGGAGATGCTCTAAGCTCGACTCGACAAACTCAACATTTGCGACGTTGCATTACCCATGAAATTAATTACAGAACTATATGTTTCATGTTGGTAGCTTGGAAATGACATTCTTTATCTCAAGATCAATTCTCGACCAACAAAACTCGTTAGCCCTTTCCTCGCAAAGCGTAGGCCGCCAATGCAAACCAACAGCATAATCGTGTAGGGGAAAGTTTCTGTTGGTTTGGTCGAGAATTATCTTTAAGTGCCCACACGGCAGAAGTGTTGTCAATAGTTGCATCAATATTTTCAACAATAAATTTGGTTTGTCTCAATACAGGGTTACTGCTCATTAAATTTGTAAGCCCTTTTCTTTCCGATGGACTATTCCGAAACAAATGAAAACTGCTGCTGTAGCCAAAGAGGGAAAATGAGGGGAAGTATTGAATCGCGAAATCAACTTTTTTTTTGACGATAAGTGAATCAACATTTTTGTCGTCAATATTTGCATCAATATGAATGTCAATACTTTTGTGTATTTTTTGGCCGTGTGGTGTCTGCTTTAGATTAGAAAAAAAATTCAGGATTCTTTGGACCGATTTCTTCACCTGCGCTTAAGCTTTAACATTTTCTATAAATAACATAAAATTGAAAGGAACGCCTTTAGATCTTTCAAGCACAGTCAAGTATCTGGGAGTAACTCTTGACAGCAAACTCATTTGAAACTCACATCAAGAGCAGGTAGTTAATAAGGCAACAAATGCTCTTTGGATAAGTAAAAAAAAAGTTTGGTAGAAAATGGGGACCATCTACTGGATTTATTTGACGATAGTAGACCCATAATAACCATGCACCTTTGGTTTGACGGCCGAAAACTAAAGAAAAATCAGCTCAGAAGAAGCTGAGGATCACTCTCTCTATAACTGGTGCAATGGGCAGCGCACCGAGCACTAGATACTTTACTTTATCTGCTTCCGTTGCACCAATTTATCAAATTTTGGAGCTGAAAGGAGTGCATTAAGGGTCCAACGGACAAAGCACTTCCTTGATGGTGATCTTATAGGGCATCTGAGTACCTATTATAAAAGAATTGATATTGATTCTCTTGTAATTGATTGGAGAAAAAAAATATCATTTCGATCGTTTATACATACAATGTTACAGATTCTGATTTGTGGGAAAGTGGGAAACCAAACATCCGTCCAGAGTTAATTTTCTTGTATACAGAAGATTGGACAGTCGTGTTCAGCAGGTTCAGCGATATATATCTCAATACTTATGGGCAGTGCTGTAAATCCTCAAAATCAATTGTACATTTTTGATGAAAATGAGAAAAGCAGCTGTCCGATATCAAAGGGGACCTCCCTCGAATGGGTGATATCAGTTACTTAGCCATTTGACGAAGGCATGGGTCATTCTCATTTGAGAAACGCTTGATGTCATTCAATTTAGTGTAACCTACACATAAACGGAGCTCTGGTCGACATTCCAGCGAAAAATCTAAGCCAACCCGACACCAACCTGACTTCTACCAAACCCCAACCCGATGTTGACCCGACATTGACCCGACATAAACCCAAAATTTACCCGACAACAACACGACATTGCGTCGATATCGACCTTAAATCTGTTCGGGACCATTTTGCTTCCATACTCCACTTCGAATGAGAAAGGGGCTCTTTAAATTATGGTCATGTGAGAATTCGAATCCCCTCAAACTTCAATTAATAGCATGCTCATGCGTCATGCATGTTGTGTTAGTTTTCCATCCACTGATGCAAAAACAACAGTAAGAACAGTGAATAACACAAAAATATCGGGCAATGAATTTTTAAACCTGAAAACTCTTCGGTGATTTTTGCGTTGTTGAATTTTGCAAGTCAAAACTCATGGGCGAATAAAATCACGAATAACAAAAAATATGAATCGTCGTGAGTACACAGGACCATATTGGCCACACCTGGATATGTTCCGAATAAAAATCCATCATCATTCAATCACCTGAAAATCTATAAACAATGTAAATAATTGGCAGTCATATTGAATGCCCAGACCTCCCCCTTTGTAAAGCCGCAGCTATGATGCAAGATCATGATGGTGGTGGCTGGGTTCGATTTCCGGTCCAATCTAGGAATTTTTCTCGACTTTTCTGGACTATGCTTGCAGAGCTCTCAATTATTTAACTGTGGCAGTGCTCAAGGAAAGCTATGTTGAAACCCGGCTTAAAATCACAGTGGTTGTAAGAAGGGTCAAGGTC